TGTCCCGTCTTGAGTACTGTTCAGTACTCACTTCCCCCTTCAGAGCAGGAGAGATTGCTGAAATAGAGGGAATACAGAGAACATATACGGCACGCATAGACGCGATAAAGCACCTAAATTATTGGATCGTCTCAAAGCTCTCCAAATGTACTCTCTAGAAAGGAGACGAGAGAGATACCAAATATATACACCTGGAAAATACTGGAGGGTCAGGTCCCAAATCTACACAGTAAAATAACAACGTACTGGAGTGAACGATATGGAAGAAAATGCAAGATTGAACCTGTGAAGAGCAGAGGTGCCATAGGCACAATCAGAGAACACTGTATAAACATCAGGGGTCCGCGGTTGTTCAACGTCCTCCCAGCGACTATAAGAAATATTGCCGGAACAACCGTGGACATCTTCAAGAGAAAACTGGACGGTTTTCTAAGAGAAGTTCCGGATCAGCCGGGCTGTGGTGGGTACGTGGCCCTGCGGGCTGCTCCAAGCAACAGCCTGGTGGACCAAACTCTCACAAGTCGAGCCTGGCCTCGGGCCGGGCTTGGGGAGTAGAAGAACTCCCAGAACCCCATCAACCAGTATCTCCCTCCCTCCCTCCCTCCCTCCCTCCCTCCCTCCTCCCCCCCTCACCTAGTTGAATTTTGTCAGTAATAATCGAGCCACTTTCGCTATATTTACTTAAAAATTCAGTACATTGCTCGCACAAAATAGACCAGATACTTAAACAAAAATCATTGAATATTGAAAGCCACTCAGAACTGCTAAGAATTGTACATATTTTTTGCTGTAGCATCGCAAATAATAATCTACCTTTGCATTTACAAAGGTAAATGTATGTAAATGCAAAGGTAGAGCTAGTATTTTCGCTGCTGTAAAGTGAGTAGAGTAAGGCAAGGAAGAAGGGGAGTGGTGATACAGTGGACGGGAGTGTCACTATACAGTACAACTTCCCACTCTTGCCGGGAATTCTTCGCCTTTTTAATCCTCAATAAGGCATTGCTGAAAAAAATTAGATCGACAGAAAGATGTGTATGAAAAATATGTTGGGCCATGGGAGGGTCGTGGTGACTGTTAGTGGTGTCTTGGAGTGTGTTCTGATGTTGCAACTCTATTGTAGTGGGTATGTGGGCCTGCGGGCCACTCCAAGCAACAGCCTGGTGGACCAAACTCTCACAAGTCAAGCCTGGCCTCGGGCCGGGCTTGGGGAGTAGAACAACTAGGTACAATCCAGATCCACCACATAATTACCTAGGAACACTCACCTATCATAACTACAAAAGATTTAGTCTTGAGACACCACAGTGCCTGTGTTTATATGCTTAAATGTGCTTAACACACTTGTTATGTTACACTGTGCCAGTTACATGTACCAGGCCTTGTAATACTTGCTTGTTTGATGTGATGTTCATGTGTTATGTTACACCAGAAACTGGTATAACTTTCATTTGATTGGACCATCGGGGCCTCGAACCGCTGTCCATACAAGCAGCAGCCCGCAGCCCTACCAACTGAGCCACAATAAGGAAGGTATTGCAATGGCTGACGTCACTGCGAGCTTTGTCATGCTTCTCGTAGGCTACACAGCCACTGTTGGTCACAACATTGTTGACATGTGGTAGTGAAGAATGTTTCACTGCCTCCTTGTCACCGCCTCCTTGTCACAGCTTGTGACAAGGTGTGTGGTGTGGGGGAAAAAACAAAAAAAGTAGTTAGTAAACAGTTGATTGACAGTTGAGAGGCGGGCCGAAAGAGCAAAGCTCAACCCCCGCAAGCACAAGAAGTAAACACAACTAGTAAACACAGCCTTGCTCTCCAGGAGGCTGTAGTGAAGCATCTCACAGCACGAGTCTCCAGTGTCTGGATGATGTGACAGCTTAATATTCTGTGGTACACCGTGCGGGGCAAGACCTGGTTAATATTCTCTCTGGCACAAGCTGAGGGGAAGATCTGGACCATGGGTGATATTGTCTGGTTCACGGTAGGTATAGCGTCAAGTACGAGCTGGTCACTCCAGTCTTGTGTAAGGTGGCGTGGTTTTGTCTTGTCTTCTTGTCATTGTAGGAAAGCAACATGTCAAGGATTTGGGAATAATGATGTCTGACGACCTAACGTTTAAGGAGCATAACCAAGCAAATATTGCGTCAGCCAGAAAAATGATAGGATGGATTACGAGAACTTTCAAATCCAGGGATCCCATCACAATGGTTGTACTCTTCAAGTCACTTGTGTTGTCCCGTCTTGAGTACTGCTCAGTACTCACTTCCCCCTTCAGAGCAGGAGAGATTGCTGAAATAGAGGGAATACAGAGAATATATACGGCACGCATAGACGAGATAAAACACCTAAATTATTGGGATCGTCTCAAAGCTCTCAAAATGTACTCACTAGAAAGGAGACGAGAGAGATACCAAATAATAGTAGGCATCCTTCAGTCTCAGGAGACTATGGAGTTGCGCCCTAGTTGTCAGTCCTGGTGCAGCGTCTGGTGTGACTGATGAGGCCAATCCCAGAGTGGCAGTCCATCCCACACCGAGCACAAACGAAGTCCGATTCTGGTCTGTCTTCCTGGCTACCGGCTTTCCTTCTCTGTCTCTTTGCCTCCGATGACTTGGCAAGTGACTCCTCGAACTTGGAGAGACCTCTGAACAGACTGCCTCCAGGCTGAACGGTCTGCGGCCACTATACCAAATAATATACACCTGGAAAATACTGGAGGGCCAGGTCCCAAATCTACACAGTAAAATAACAACATACTGGAGTGAACGATATGGAAGAAAATGCAGAATAGAACCAGTGAAGAGCAGAGGTGCCATAGGCACAATCAGAGAACACTGTATAAACATCAGAGGTCCGCGGTTGTTCAACACCCTCCCAGCGACTATAAGAAATATTGCCGGAACAACCGTGGACATCTTCAAGGGAAAACGAGATTGTTTCCTCCAAGGAGTGCCGGACCAACCGGGCTGTGGTGGGTATGTGGGCCTGCGGGCCGCTCCAAGCAACAGCCTGGTGGACCAAACTCTCACAAGTCAAGCCTGGCCTCGGGCCGGGGTTGGAAGACCTCCCAGAACCTCATCAAGCAGGTAGCGGGTATCAGCATACATATCGACCTGCAGGGGGGGGGGGACAATATTAAGCCCACAACAATAGCTTTTGTCTGGTGTATCTGGCATTATTGTCCTCTCTTGAGGTTACTTTGGGATGATTTCGGGGCTTAACGTTCCCGCGGCCCGGTCCTCGACCAGGCCTCTCTTGTTACACATCCCCAGGAAGCAGCCCGTAGCAACTGTCTAACTCCCAGGTACCTATTTACTGCTATGTGAACAGGGGGCATCACGGTGAAAGAAACTGTGCCCATTTGTTTCCGCCTTCACCGGGAATCGAATCCGGGACCATAGGACTACGAATACCGAGCGCCGTCCACTCAGCCGTCAGGCGCCCTGACTCCTAACTCAAAATGTAGTCTTTATACTTAAGGAAATGGTAGTGTGTGTGTGTGTGTGTGTGTGTGTGTGTGTGTGTGTGTACTCACCTATTTGTGCTTGCAGGATCGAGCATTGACTCTTGGATCCCGCCTTTCCAGCTATCGGTTGTTTACAGCAATGACTCCTGTCCCATTTCCCTATCATACCTAGTTTTTAAAAGTATGAATAGTATTTGCTTCCACAACCTGTTCCCCAAGTGCATTCCATTTTTCCACTACTCTCACGCTAAAAGAAAACTTCCTAACATCTCTGTGACTCATCTGAGTTTCCAGTTTCCACCCATGTCCCCTCGTTCTGTTATTATTACGTGTGAACATTTCATCTATTTCCACTTTGTCAATTCCCCTGAGTATTTTATATGTCCCTATCATATCTCCTCTCTCCCTTCTTTTCTTTAGTGTCGTAAGGTTCAGTTCCTGCAGACGCTCTTCATATCCCATCCCTCGTAACTCTGGACAAGCCTCGTCGCAAACCTCTGGACCTTCTCCAGTTTCTTGATGGCGCGGCATACTCTAAGACGGGTCTCACGTAGGCAGTGTAAAGCGCCCTAAAAGCCTCCTCATTTAGGTTTCTGAATGAAGTTCTAATTTTCGCCAGTGTAGAGTACGCTGCTGTCGTTATCCTATTTATATGTGCCTCAGGAGTTAGATTAGGTGTCACATCCACTCCCAGGTCTCTTTCTCGAATCGTTACAGGTAGGCTGTGTACTCACCTAGTTGTGTTTGCGGGGGTTGAGCTCTGGCTCTTTGATCCCGAAAGTGTGTGTGTGTATGTGTGTACCTGTGATGGCAGGTATGTGTGTGCTATTATTACTAATATCTGCGGCACATTAGTCGCTCCAAGCAACAGCCTGGTGGACCAAGCTGTCACAAGTCGAGCCTGGCCCCGGGCCGTTCTTGGGGAGTAGAAGAACGCCCAGAATCTCACCAAAGTACAATCCAGATAAGCCTTGCTAAGGTCCTCCAACTGTTGTTATAGACGTTGCCACACTAACCACTTGCGCCAATCCACTCCCCCCCATCCACTTGGGTTGGTTGGTAGAGCGACGGTCTCGCTTCATGCAGGTCGGCGTTCAATCCCCGACCGTCCAAGACCGTTCCTTCCCACCCTCCCTCTGCCCCCCTCTCCCCCATTCCAAAACCTCTTCCTGGCCTCTTCACAAGTGCTATATAGTCCTAATGGCCTTGCGCTTTACCCTTGATAGCCCCCCCCTTCTAGTCCACACGAAATCAATAGTGAATGGTTGCCATGAGGCATGGCCGGATGTATTCAATGAGATTAACTAACCGGCCTCTTTCGGTGTTCAGATAAAAAAAAAATCTCTTTTTGAGATTTTTTTTTTATCTGAACACCACAACTGGGTAGCTGATCAACTGGGCTGTGAGCCATGTGTCGGGCTGCATACATCACCGTCCAGCAACAGCCTGGTTGACCAGACCGTCAACCAGGAGGACTGGTCACGGACCGGCTCGCGGGACGTCCTAATAATGTGCACTAACTCAAGGTGATGGTATGGAGACCTTGTCCTTGAGATTACTGCGGCCCTACAGCCTGGTCACCGCGGGCCCTACAGCCTGGTCACCGCGGGCCCTACAGCCTGGTCACCGCGGGGCCACAGCCTGGTCACCGCGGGCCCTACAGCCTGGTCACCGCGGGCCCTACAGCCTGGTCACCGCGGGCCCTACAGCCTGGTCACCGCGGGCCCTACAGCCTGGTCACCGCGGGCCCCAGCAGCCTGGTCACCGCGGGCCCTACAGCCTGGTCACCGCGGGCCCTACAGCCTGGTCACCGCGGGCCCTACAGCCTGGTCACCGCGGGCCCTACAGCCTGGTCACCGCGGGCCCTACAGCCTGGTCACCGCGGGCCCTACAGCCTGGTCACCGCGGGCCCTACAGCCTGGTCACCGCGGGCCCTACAGCCTGGTCACCGCGGGCCCCACAGCCTGGTCACCGCGGGCCCCACAGCCTGGTCACCGCGGGCCCTACAGCCTGGTCACCGCGGGGCCCACAGCCTGGTCACCGCGGGGCCCACAGCCTGGTCACCGCGGGGCCCACAGCCTGGTCACCGCGGGGCCCACAGCCTGGTCACCGCGGGCCCCACAGCCTGGTCACCGCGGGCCCTACAGCCTGGTCACCGCGGCCCTACAGCCTGGTCACCGCGGGCCCTACAGCCTGGTCACCGCGGGCCCCACAGCCTGGTCACCGCGGGCCCCACAGCCTGGTCACCGCGGGCCCTACAGCCTGGTCACCGCGGGCCCTACAGCCTGGTCACCGCGGCCCTACAGCCTGGTCACCGCGGGCCCCACAGCCTGGTCACCGCGGGCCCTTCAGCCTGGTCACCGCGGGCCCCACAGCCTGGTCACCGCGGGCGCCAAAGCCTGGTCACCGCGGGCCCCACAGCCTGGTCACCGCGGGCCCCACAGCCTGGTCACCGCGGGCCCCACAGCCTGGTCACCGCGGGCCCCACAGCCTGGTCACCGCGGGCCCCACAGCCTGGTCACCGCGGGCCCCACAGCCTGGTCACCGCGGGCCCCACAGCCTGGTCACCGCGGGCCCCACAGCCTGGTTACCGCGGGCCCTACAGCCTGGTCACCGCGGGCCCTACAGCCTGGTCACCGCGGGCCTACAGCCTGGTCACCGCGGGCCTACAGCCTGGTCACCGCGGGCCCTACAGCCTGGGTCACCGCGGGCCCTGCAGCCTGGATCACCGCGGGCCCTACAGCCTGGTCACCGCGGGCCCTACAGCCTGGGTCACCGCGGGCCTACAGCCTGGGTCACCGCGGGCCCTACAGCCTGGGTCACCGCGGGCCCTACAGCCTGGTCACCGCGGGCCCTACAGCGTGGGTCACCGCGGGCCCTACAGCCTGGGTCACCGCGGGCCCTACAGCCTGGTCACCGCGGGGCCTACAGCCTGGTCACCGCGGGCCCTACAGCCTGGTCACCGCGGGCCCTACAGCCTGGTCACCGCGGGCCCTACAGCCTGGGTCACCGCGGGCCCTACAGCCTGGGTCACCGCGGGCCCTACAGCCTGGTCACCGCGGGCCCTACAGCCTGGGTCACCGCGGGCCCTACAGCCTGGGTCACCGCGGGCCCTACAGCCTGGGTCACCGCGGGCCCTACAGCCTGGGTCACCGCGGGCCCTACAGCCTGGGTCACCGCGGGCCCTACAGCCTGGGTCACCGCGGGCCCTACAGCCTGGTCACCGCGGGCTCTACAGCCTGGTCACCGCGGGCCTACAGCCTGGTCAACATCAGCACGGAGGTCAGACACCGTTACAATATGTTGACCAGACCACACACTAGCAAGTGAAGGGACGACGACGTTTCGGTCCGTCCTGGACCATTCTCAAGTCGATTGTGGCGCCGATATGTCTGCTGAAGACAAGACAATATCACCCCTGGTCCAGGACGGACCGAAACGTCGTCAATAACGAAACGTCACAATAACGTGGCTGCAACATATTGCAGCCACGTTATTGTGACTCCTCGCCTGCACCCTTACAATACCTGTCTCGGGCGATTGATTGATGCAGATTAAGCCACCCAAAAGGTGGCACGGGCATGAATAGCCCGTAAGTGGAGGCCCTTTTGAGCCATTACCAGTATTAAGAGCTGATACTGGAGATCTGTGGAGGTGCGACTGCACCCTGCGTGACGGGAGATGTCTCCCATGAGTCTCGGGTCGCCAACAGTCACTAATATACCGTCAGTGGGTATATTAGTGGGTAGTGGTGGGTAGGAACGAGGCCCTTGGAGGCCTGGTCCAAGACCGGGCCGCGGGGACACTAAAGCCCCGAAATCATCTCAAGATAACCTCAAGATACGGACGACGACGTTTTGGTCCGTCCTGGACCATTAGTTGGACCTGGACCATTAGTTGGACCTGGACCATTAGTTGGACCTGGACCATTAGTTGGACCTGGACCATTAGTTGGACCTGGACCATTAGTTGGACCTGGACCATTAGTTGGACCTGGACCATTAGTTGGACCTGGACCATTAGTTGGACCTGGACCATTAGTTGGACCTGGACCACCATTGAGTTTGTGGTGCGTGACAAGGCTGACCGCTCCTCCCCCTCCGGTGGCCAGTAATTACTCTCCGCCAGTGACGGCGCAAGTGACGCATAATCGCCTCTCCAGCACACCTGGCTTATGGCGGCTGGTGACTCCGGTGTGCGGAACAAGTCATGCTGATGAAACACCTTGTGAGTACTCTATATTAAACCCAGAATTGTAACAACAAAATTACAGGAAAGTGTGGTGTCGAGGGCGGCGCCACAGCAGAGTGGGGTGTCGAGGGCGGCGCCACAGCAGAGTGTGGTGTCGAGGGCGGCGCCACAGCAGAGTGTGGTGTCGAGGGCGGCGCCACAGCAGAGTGGGGTGTCGAGGGCGGCGCCACAGCAGAGTGTGGTGTCGAGGGCGGCGCCACAGCAGAGTGGGGTGTCGAGGGCGGCGCCACAGCAGAGTGTGGTGTCGAGGGCGGCGCCACAGCAGAGTGTGGTGTCGAGGGCGGCGCCACAGCAGAGTGTGGTGTCGAGGGCGGCGCCACAGCAGAGTGTGGTGTCGAGGGCGGCGCCACAGCAGAGTGGGGTGTCGAGGGCGGCGCCACAGCAGAGTGTGGTGTCGAGGGCGGCGCCACAGCAGAGTGGGGTGTCGAGGGCGGCGCCACAGCAGAGTGGGGTGTCGAGGGCGGCGCCACAGCAGAGTGTGGTGTCGAGGGCGGCGCCACAGCAGAGTGTGGTGTCGAGGGCGGCGCCACAGCAGAGTGTGGTGTCGAGGGCGGCGCCACAGCAGAGTGTGGTGTCGAGGGCGGCGCCACAGCAGAGTGGGGTGTCGGGGGGGGCGGCGCCACAGCAGAGTGGGGTGTCGAGGGCGGCGCCACAGCAGAGTGTGGTGTCGAGGGCGGCGCCACAGCAGAGTGGGGTGTCGAGGGCGGCGCCACAGCAGAGTGTGGTGTCGAGGGCGGCGCCACAGCAGAGTGTGGTGTCGAGGGCGGCGCCACAGCAGAGTGTGGTGTCGAGGGCGGCGCCACAGCAGAGTGTGGTGTCGAGGGCGGCGCCACAGCAGAGTGTGGTGTCGAGGGCGGCGCCACAGCAGAGTGTGGTGTCGAGGGCGCGCCACAGCAGAGTGTGGTGTCGAGGGCGGCGCCACAGCAGAGTGTGGTGTCGAGGGCGGCGCCACAGCAGAGTGTGGTGTCGAGGGCGGCGCCACAGCAGAGTGTGGTGTCGAGGGCGGCGCCACAGCAGAGTGGGGTGTCGAGGGCGGCGCCACAGCAGAGAGGGGTGTCGAGGGCGGCGCCACAGCAGAGTGGGGTGTCGAGGGCGGCGCCACAGCAGAGTGGGGTGTCGAGGGCGGCGCCACAGCAGAGTGGGGTGTCGAGGGCGGCGCCACAGCAGAGTGGGGTGTCGAGGGCGGCGCCACAGCAGAGTGTGGTGTCGAGGGCGGCGCCACAGCAGAGTGGGGTGTCGAGGGCGGCGCCACAGCAGAGTGGGGTGTCGAGGGCGGCGCCACAGCAGAGTGTGGTGTCGAGGGCGGCGCCACAGCAGAGTGTGGTGTCGAGGGCGGCGCCACAGCAGAGTGTGGTGTCGAGGGCGGCGCCACAGCAGAGTGGGGTGTCGAGGGCGGCGCCACAGCAGAGTGGGGTGTCGAGGGCGGCGCCACAGCAGAGTGGGGTGTCGAGGGCGGCGCCACAGCAGAGTGGGGTGAGGGCGGCGCCACAGCAGAGTCGAGGGCGGCGCCACAGCAGAGTGGGGTGTCGGCGCCACAGCAGAGTGGGGTGTCGAGGGCGGCGCCACAGCAGAGTGGGGTGTCGAGGGCGGCGCCACAGCAGAGTGGGGTGTCGAGGGCGGCGCCACAGCAGAGTGGGGTGTCGAGGGCGGCGCCACAGCAGAGTGGGGTGTCGAGGGCGGCGCCACAGCAGAGTGGGGTGTCGGGGGCGGCGCCACAGCAGAGTGGGGTGTCGAGGGCGGCGCCACAGCAGAGTGGTGTCGGGGGGGGGGGGGCGCCACAGCAGAGTGGGGTGTCTGGGGGGGGGGCACCACGGAGGGAAGGAATGGTGCCCACCCACTTGGACGGTCGGGGATTGAACGCTGACCTGCATGAAGCGAGATCGTCGCTCTACCGTCCTGCCCAAGTGGTTGGACAGAGTGCAAAAGACTTGGTGACAGCCCGGGACCTGCCTAGGGAGGGGCGAGGATGGCCCGGGACCTGCCTAGGGAGGGGCGAGGATGGCCCGGGACCAGCCTAGGGAGGGGCGAGGATGGCCCGGGACCAGCCTAGGGAGGGGCGAGGATGGCCCGGGACCAGCCTAGGGAGGGGCGAGGATGGCCCGGGACCTGCCTAGGGAGGGGCGAGGATGGCCCGGGACCAGCCTAGGAAGGGGCGAGGATGGCCCGGGACCAGCCTAGGAAGGGGCGAGGATGGCCCGGGACCAGCCTAGGAAGGGGTGAGGATGGCCCGGGACCAGCCTAGGGGGGCGAGGACGGCCCGGGACCAGCCTAGGGTGGGGCGAGGATGGCCCGGGACCAGCCTAGGGAGGGGCGAGGATGGCCCGGGACCAGCCTAGGGAGGGGCGAGGATGGCCCGGGACCAGCCTAGGGAGGGGCGAGGATGGCCCGGGACCTGCCTAGGGAGGGGCGAGGATGGCCCGGGACCTGCCTAGGGAGGGGCGAGGATGGCCCGGGACCAGCCTAGGGAGGGGCGAGGATGGCCCGGGACCAGCCTAGGAAGGGGCGAGGATGGCCCAGGACCGGCCTAGGGAGGGGCGAGGATGGCCCGGGACCAGCCGGGTTGTAGTGGACATGCGAGCCTGCAGGCTGCTCTAAACAACAAACTTGTAGATCAACTTATTTCCAGAGTAAGTTGGGGGCCGGGCGGACATTGGTACACTGGAGATGTGCCAGGGCTCCAAGCTGGCCACTGGGCACGAGACTAGCCAGGAGCGGGGGTAGTTACGGTGAGTACGGCCGTAACACTGATGGTGGTTGGACTCGTTAGTGGCCTAGCAGCGGGAGCTCCAATTCAACCTTATTCCTGCAGAGTTTAAATGACCAGTTTTTTGTAATTTGTGACATTTTGAAGCGTATTTCAAGCGTTTATTATTGATTTAATTATAATATTCTTTTGTTTACGGCAATATTATACATTTTGAAAAGTTTTGTATTTCACATAAAAGTCAACTTCATTATTGGCATTAAGACATTTGGGTGGAGGTGGGAAAATACAGCTGAGTGGACTACTGAACCCTCTTGTTGTCGCGTCGCCTTTCCTCGCCCGGGAAAACATTTGGAGGTACAATGAGCTGCGGTGCGAACAGCCCTTGTTCCTGAGAGAGAGAGGAGGGGGGGGGGGGGGGTGAAAGCGAAATTCCAGGGTGTTGGGGTCACGTGTGTGTTGTGAGTGGACGGTGGGTAAAGTGGCGGGGAATGACCCACACCTGCTTCTTGGAGCAGGTGTGGGGGTTATTCACACCTGCTTCTTGGAGCAGGTGTGGGGGTCATTCACACCTGCTTCTTGGAGCAGGTGTGGGGGTTATTCACACCTGCTTCTTGGAGCAGGTGTGGGGGTTATTCACACCTGCTTCTTGGATCAGGTGTGGGGGTCATTCACACCTGCTTCTTGGATCAGGTGTGGGGTCATTCACACCTGCTTCTTGGAGCAGGTGTGGGGTCATTCACACCTGCTTCTTGGAGCAGGTGTGGGGTCATTCACACCTGCTTCTTGGAGCAGGTGTGGGGGTCATTCACACCTGCTTCTTGGAGCAGGTGTGGGGTCATCACACTTCTTCTTGGACAGGTGTGGGTCATTCACACCTGCTTCTTGGAGCAGGTGTGGGGTCATTCACACCTGCTTCTTGGAGCAGGTGTGGGTTGTTCACATCTGCTTCTTGGAGCAGGTGTGGGTTGTTCACATCTGCTTCTTGGAGCAGGTGTGGGGTCATTCACACCTGCTTCTTGGAGCAGGTGTGGGGTCATTCACACCTGCTTCTTGGAGCAGGTGTGGGGTCATTCACACCTGCTTCTTGGAGCAGGTGTGGGGTCATTCACACCTGCTTCTTGGAGCAGGTGTGGGGTCATTCACACCTGCTTCTTGGAGCAGGTGTGGGGTCATTCACACCTGCTTTTTGGAGCAGGTGTGGGGTCATTCAACACCTGCTTCTTGGATCAGGTGTGGGGGTTATTCACACCTGCTTCTTGGAGCAGGTGTGGGGTCATTCACACTTGCTTCTTGGAGCAGGTGTGGGTTGTTCACATCTGCTTCTTGGAGCAGGTGTGGGGTCATTCAAC